CATTTCTCGATATATATTGACACAAGGATCATACTTGAACCGTGTTCAGTGATTCATTACCTCTTAAGTCCCATTTACCTATAGTTTGATTAACACTGCCCAGGCCCAAGTCCCACTTACCTATAGTTTGATTAACACAGCCCAGGCCCAAGTCCCACTTACCTGTAGTTTGATTAACACAGCCCAGGCCTATATATTTGTATATGTACAAGTGAAACAGTTTTCCCTTGTTGTAATTTAGGACAGAATTACTATCACAAGATTGATCAAAAATGACTACCTGGTTTACCAGTCAAAACATCACTTATACCTTTTTATGTGTGTTCAATTGTGGTCATACTAACTTATCTGAATGACTTACCTCACAATGAACACATATTATGATAGACTTAAAATCAGCAATATTACTCTTTTTTACTTATTACAAGCTTAATCCAAAGAAGATACATTTTCATTCAGATGAGAATGAAAGAGAAATGAGAATGTGGCAATGAAAAATACTTCCATTTGATATTCTAGCTTGCTAAGTAAACTTCCAAAATAAATATTCTTGTAAAATAAATATTTATTATTAGGGATGTTAAAGGTAAAGAAATATGAGACTAACATTTTGACTAAAAATCCAACACTATTAAAAAATAAATTAGATCCAATTAAAGTTAGAATGAACAAACACCAATTTTTAGCATAGATATTTATCTGAAAAAGTTTCACACATTATACATTTATCATTACCACTAGATAATATTCTAAAGCCATTTGAATATAGCCTTGTTTACAGTAAAACCTGTCTTAGTGAACACCCCTCTCTGGTGAACACCTGTCTCTAGTAGACACCATTCCTCCACACATACTCTACTGACTTCTGCATAAATTACCCTCTCTGTAGTGATCACTTACTAACACTGAATGTTTTTTTGTTGAAAAAATGTTCAATATACATGTTTTACTGTACTGTACTTACATTATAAAACAAATCAAAACAAATCTTACCTGTTCTGTTTTTAATGTGTTGAATCCAAAGACAGAACAATGACAATCTTATCCTATTGATCCTATATCTTGGTAATTAGCTAGGAGTTGAAGTTGAAGTTTGAAACAATATTTAAATCCATCACTTAAACTCAACTGGTCACCATGGAAAGCAGATGTTTATATATTATATCAGATAAAAGTTGAAATTTTTAATTGTTTTTGAGCTTAACTGGTTGTAAATTTTAAAAACTTGTCTAATCTTTATTTCACCTGCTACCTAATTGGTATCAAAATATATAGTATATACCTAATCCTACACCCACTGATTTATTACTTAACCATAAATAGATGTTGATTGGCAATGTAATTTATACATGAACTACCAATGATAAACATTACTTGTATGTGTAATACTATTTATAAATGTACAATACTTCTCATGTATGTACAATACTACTTAAGTTTATACAATACTTCTCATGTATATACAATACTACTTAAGTATGTACAATACTTCTCATGTATTATGTACAATACTACTTTAGTATGTATAATACTTCTCATGGGTGTACAATACTACTCAAGTATGTACAATACTTCTCATGTATTATGTACAATACTACTTAAGTATGTACAATACTTCTCATGTACGTATAATATTACTTAAGTATGAATCATACTTCTCATGTACGTACAATACTACTTAGGTATGAATCATACTTCTCATGTACGCACAGTACTACTTAAGTATGTACAATACTTCTCATGTACGTACAATACAACTTAAGTATGTATCATACTTCTCATGTACGTACAATACTACCAATGCCTGCACCACCCTACCAATGCAATGCAGGCATGTAATCTTCCAATATATCATCTTAAACACCATAGTTTGTAATACACATATCTACCATGCATCATACTACCTTATGTACCATATTGCTGAAATACCATACTACCATGTACCATATGAACCTATTAATACTACAATGCACCATACTACCATGCATCATGTACTATACCTCCATTCATCATACTACAAATGTATTATACCACCATACTACCATGCACCATACTACCATATACTATACTACCATGCACCATACTACCATGCACCATACTACCATGTACTATACTACCATGCACCATACTACCATGTTCTATCCTACCAACATTTGAAAAAAGACCACCTTTATCTATATTATAAGCTCAGGCTGTAAGTTTATACATTTGTTAATTGATCTATGGGCAAATATTGTTGACATCTCCCATCCAAATATCAGCAACTCTTACGAGCCAAACAAAAATAATTCCCATCAATATAGCAGATTTTGTTGCACCATGAACATTAAATTTGGTAATTATACCAAAACGGTACCTCTGTAATTTGGCAATAACATACATGTATCTGCAAATTATCTTTGGATATATACAAACTACTAAATTATCTACATATTATTTATCCTCACATCAGGAGTTAAGACTCTGTACATGTTCTCCCCCATGGGCTTGTTTTATGAACCTATTACATGGTTTATGCTATAAATATAATGACAGAAAGTGTATTTCCATGTTTATGGCAACTGAATTATTTATTGGTAAGTCATAATCTGGGCTGCATGACAGAGCACAGGTATAAGTTGACAATTAGTTTAACATCTGTGCCTCAAGGTGAACCTTTATTTAGATAATGCTCATCTTCTATGACTATTTGCAAATTGGAGTTGATTCTCATCCGCAAATGTTTATTTTGAAAGAGATGTTTTTTTAAACATTTCAGATAAAAATGTTATGGACCAAATAATATAGGCAACTGTATTTTTAAACCATGATATTTCTTATTCATATACCCCTCATCCTCCGAACACAGGGCCTCCGGAACTCTTACCTCCTTCTTCCATTTTTGAAGAGGAGAGGAATGTTAGTCTGGAGCCCTGCAGTCGGAGGATGATATCCCTAAGCCCTACCAAATCCTTTATCACTGTACAGTAAGAAAAGCCTGTCCAATTATAAAACTTCTGGGATTAAAAGTGTTTGAAATAGTTAGTTTACCATTTGAGTGAATGGGATTGAAAAAATCGGAGAGAAACTTACAAGGTTTCAGTCACTCTACATTCTGTAATATTAGTAGTCGAACGTGAGAGTTTGAACAAAAGAAGCGTTTAATATGCAAGTTTGACTGTACAAAAACAGGATCCTGATTGCAACAGTGCATCATAAAAATAGAACCATTTTAATCAAGTAATGAATTAAATTACAAAATGTAGCTGATTTATCTCACATAACGTTTCTTGTTATTCAAATAATCTGAGGCAATGATGATCTAATAGTTGTTTGGTACATTAGGCATCCAAACAAATCAAGTTCTTATATTTGTGATGCAACAAAGTTGAAAAACAATCCGTGGAAAGACAACAGTGAAACTGATAAATTTGAACACTCATATCTGTATGGTTAACATTGTTCCAAGATTAAATGTCACATTTACATGCTTAAAGCTAATGTACTGCTCCAAGAAATCATTTACATGGTCTATCCTTAGTACCTCACAGCATGGACATTTTTTCTCACGACTGCAGTATCAACAGTTCAACGCCTTTTGTGAGTCTTAAAGTTTTCAACATCTACCATCAGTGACCTCCCCAGCAGTAAAGCAAGTGGGCGCGGGCCGCGGCACCCACCTGAGATTTTGAAAATAGACTTGCACCCACCTGAAAATCCATTTGCACCCACTTTGAAATGAGAAAATCAAAAGAAATTGGCATCTTTTGACCAATTTTAGTCTCAATTGTGAAAATGAGAATTTTGCAACCACCTGAGAAAAAATCCTGGGGAGATCACTGTCCACTATATTACTATACACATTAACATGGAGTGCAAATGCCTAAAAATCTCTTTGACACTCAAGCCAGAATACTTCTTCCAAAGCATGTACCAGAACAAACATTTTAAGGAATATTTTCAATGAATTAACTATAATGTGATTGAGATCATAGAGGCTATAGTGGTGGGCCCCTGGCTCAGGGTGAGTCATTTTTGCCATAAAAAATGAGTTCCTCCCAAAGATCATGTAATCCAAGTAATTCTTTTTCGGCAACAGCAAGCTACTATCTCAATATAGTATGTTGTCCGAAAGTCACTGTATCCACGGGTTTCAAGGCGATTTTCACTGGTTGTTTTCACAAAATCACCTGTTGTTTTTATGGCCTTTCAACTTTTCCATGTTAAATCTATGATTTCCATTAATTTTTGCCTGTTGTTTTCATTTATTTAGCCTGTTGTGAGAAATTCTAGTGAAACCCCTGGTATCACAGACTTATTTATGATGTATATTACAATAAAGAACTTGAAGTGAATCTAATGTCATTCTTAACAGTAAGACTGCCAAAAAAGCTTTAGCCAGAAAATAACTCCAAAATAAATTCAGAGTACTAATTAAGAAAAAATGCCAATTACTTGTTGAACAATAAACATAGTTGAACCTAATTGCTGAGTAAAACATTTATCAAAATATTTGGCGATTGCACAAAAATGAAAAATCTTTAATGAGTTATAAACATATATTTATTGGATTCTCTGAATATTATATGCATTAAGTTACGTACTTACCCCTGACTTTAGCCTCTATGTGCAAGAACTAAGGAATAGATATTATATCTTGTATTTCTGCCAAAATGAACCAGTTTTAAGTATCTAAGGGACACGTTTTCGCTTGTTTATTGATTTTTAGCGTTCCACAATATAATACTAACTCATAAATCTATTGTAGTTATACATTCACAAATGTTATATTATAATTCTCCTTCAACTATTTAACCCACGGTTCTCCATGATAAAATGTTGAATAAATATGAAGTACAGTAGTATAACAAGTCCCTTGTGGGAAATTTCATAACTCTCTAAAATGTTACAATTTTTATATGAATTACACAATTCCACACAGTATATAACAACAAAAAATGTTTGAGTTTCCTGATACTTTGTTGAGCAATTGTAATATAATATAATATATCTACACTTACTAGAATTATCAAGCGTTAGGTCTTATCCTTACAGTGGTGAAAGATTCAGATAGATCCAACCTACTAAACTCTACTAAACCAATTGGTCTTACGTCAGAAACTACATGTATATCATCTACAAGGGGCTTCAAGAGCCCCATTGAAAGTCTTGTAGCAGATCTGGAAAATGTTTGCCACTCTTAAACTATACGAGTATATACCTTTGTGCAATCAAAAAACATTCTGCTAATTATAACAGCTAGTGAGAGGTAAATTGACTATTAAACTCATATTGGATTTATGAAGTTATTTTGAAGAAATCATTGTATTTTCTTAAGGATTTGAACAAAACAATAAATGTAAAGTGACGGCTATGCGATTCTGTAAGATTTTGTAAGGTATAATAAGATTATTTCAATGTAGCTTAAACAGAAATAATACAGTTCAATATAGTTAAATATAGGTTTTCATAAGTTCTTCAAAGCTCATGAATTGTTCAAACAAGAATGCTGTAAGTGTTTTCTCATCGCATTTGGGACCTTTAAAGTTTAAAGGTCCATGCATGACGCTTTAACCAAATGTAATTTTGTTATTGCAAATACTCCAAAAAGTTGACATTTACAAATATAAATCCAAATATTTATTTCTCATATGAATAGGGTTAGAGTTTTTAACATTCCCTGACCTTGTCCCTGATGTTACCAAAGAAACAAAAGAAAATCAGACAAATAAACAAACAAACAAACAAACAAACAAACAAACAAGAAGACATTCAAACATATATCCTGAGTTTGATTATTTACATGTACATACAAAACACATATTTGCATGGTGATACAATATTTATATTTTAGAATTTAATTAGTTTGAACTTGAATGCTTTTATTCAGTGAGTAAAATGTTTCCATTGCCTCTTCAACATACAATCCCTATGTAATTGCAAAAGCTAGATTAATCATTTTAGCACCCCCCCTCTTTTATTGACTCATAACATCACATATCATATTCAATCCATTTGGCTCAAATATGTAAATACATTTGCATGTTTGATGCATCTTCACACAATCGGTCTTCACTGCGGTCAAAATGATGCAACGGAAGCTGAGTGAACAAAGATGTGTTTGATTGTGATACAATGATTATATTTTAGGTATTTTTGATGTTTTCCAAAATTGATTTATCTTGTTTAAAGTCATCAATCCACAATTGCTCTGTCATTGTGTTCATATACTTTTTAGCCAGGAAATATTATGTCAGTGAAAGAAAGTGTCAGGTCAGGGATGTAGTGAGGTTGATACATCGGGAATTCTATCCCACCACTCATCCAATCACTCCACTATCTTATCTATCGCTTTAACATCCTCACTTCCTTTTCAATACGGCAAGTTTTGGAGTCAATAAAAACACATTTTTCTCTTGTGAGAAGGAAATGGGGGAAGATACCATATTTATCTGAGGTTAATTGCATTCCAAAGATATCCCCATTCTTGTGTCTATACTGACAAATTACAATTGGACAAATGAAAGGTGAATAATGATAGGGAAGCGTTAATGATCCTTTGAACAGTCAAGTAGAGGATTTGACTCAATTTCTGATATCTGGATGCTGTTACACTTTTTCAACACTTGCCCGCAATAAACGGAATATCCCATCAACATTTGTTGGTTATTCTGACTCAGGACAGAATGTACTGACTGAGTGCAGGCTGTATGTTCATCTTCTCTTTCTTGAGTCTCATTCCCTTTGCTGAAAAGCGTAACGTTTGAGAAAAAGTGCCAAGGGTCTTGGTTTATGGACTGTTGGAGAGTCAGATTGAAATCTTCAATATCCTGAGTAAATGGAAGAAAATACATTATATTAAAGAAAAATCTACAGCTTTCGTTTGCAATGATTGTTAAACACTGAACCGTTCAATCTCCATTTCAACCCAGTGAAAGAGAAGAAATCAAGAGGGGAGGACATACAGGATCCTCATACAATGCAAGCAATGATGTTGTATGTCATGTTTAATATCAATACAAACTTGTTTGCAATTAAAAAAATAATGCTAGAGCATCAACATGCTAAGAAGATACAAATATAACCCTTCTGAAAATTACCACTTTTTGTACAGTGACATTAATAAGTTCATTCACTTATCCTTCGAAAGCCCTCCATGTTACTGCATATGATTCAATCAAATGCATGTTTACAAAATACAGTGATTTTTCTAAGAAAGGCTTCATATACCTTAGCCTCTTTAAGCATTTATATCTTCACCTCAAACACACCTTTAAATGTTATTCAAATGTGTGGGATTGATATAGTTACATGCACAACAACACAAGTAACCAGGTAACAAAATCAAACAAACATTATTTTCTTTACAAGTTAAAGACATGTGAGAATCAACACTGAAAACTATATATAAAAGATACAATGTACATTCAGGTGACTAAGAAGGGGTGTTTCAATACAATTGTTACTTACATGTATCACCATTGTAATTTTTGAGCTATCTAACAATGACTGGCAACCGAATGAATGATTGGCAACCAAATGAATGACTGGCAACCAAATGAATGACTGGCAACCAAATGTAAGTTCCAAGTTCCAATACCATACCTCAAACTTTTAATTAAAAGTTGCAACACTAATTGTATAAAAAATATAAACACAGAGATCAAAAAGTATATGAGAACAAAAAAGTTTATGGTGTAAGGACAACAAATCCTCGGCATAAAGAAAAAATATGTCTGACACCAGCCCTCTACCATAATCCATATGAGAGAGAAGACACACGATGATCAGAATGGCCTCCCTCATTCTGATTGTCTGAACTATTCCAAAAGGATAGTAAAGGCTGTGGATCCCACAATGGCCTCCCTATGTTACAACAACCATGATCACAATCCAAAATTGCCAAAAACATGAAGACATTAAGAACAATTTGTCCTTAATGAGATCACAGAAGCCGCATTGCCACTCTGCTAACCATGATAAACTTAATTGTTCAGGAGTTATCATTACATTTCATAACAGCATATAGTGATGAAAGCTCATGATGACATTTATGTGCAGACATTCCAACTTTAAGGAGAGGCTCAAAAATACTTAAAAAAACATTTGAGAACATTTATCTTTCATTCAGGGTGTTACATGATCAATATCAGAGAGAGACATCACATCCCAAATACAGATATCATATGCCCAAAACAAACATAAGAGCCTAAAAGACAGACATAACATTCTCAAATGATACCAACATCAACAAATAGATTTAGACACACAATGCTGCTTTTTACTGAGATACAGAACAAGTTCCCAAGAAGTAGGTTGCCAGAAATTCATGATTTTCGATTTTTCAGCCACCAAATGCCAAAATACCAACAATCATCAAAGGAAGGTTTCCATGGTCAGTCAAACCTATAATTTACACAAGGTAGTAATCGATCAAACATTAGCTGACCATCTTTGGTCCAAGGGTATTCCAATTCATTCCATATGAGCTGGTACAGTGAACACTGGTGGATCTGGAGCGAGGGGGGGGCAGGTTTCTGGATCAACCCCTGGTGAATGCCTGATCTTGTTAGTACATAAAACATTCATAAATATAAATAAAGAAGGTGGGGCTCTCAGCATCTTAACAACATTTCTAGCTCCACTATTAGCTGATAAATTTGCAGGGTTTATGGTTGGTCCTACATGATTTCGAAGATAAGATAACCAAATGTCAGTTCCCAGTGGTTATCAAATTGATATACAGTAAAATGATACAGACTTGAGATATACATGTATTATGTCATTCCTGGGGGTTTTTACAACCCCAACCACCTCATAACATCAGAGATCATAGAAGGTTGGAGGGTGAAATTGAGAATAAGACGTGTGGGCATTCACGTCTGTACAACCAGGACTGTAGCCAGAGGGGGGGGAGGGGGTTCGATGGGTTTGAGCGACCCCCCCTGGCCAAAAACTCTTTCAAAATCATGCAGTTTTTCAACATTCTGAGCACATTTTAAGTGATTTAGGTCATGGAAATTTTCAAAAAGTGAACCCCCCTTGGCAAATCCTGGCTATGGGCCTGACAATGATACAATAATAAATACAATTCTGTTCAAAACCCTCATTATTTTAACCTAGGAGAGAGTGATATAATTTATCTTGTATTGTTGTAAATTGCATATTTCTTGCCTCACCCTTTTCAATAGTCTGATATTTGGTTCTTTTATAAAAAGTTACTCCAAATATAAGGTAATCCTATATTGATCTCACTTAACCTAATCAGAATACAGGACTATCAGAATTCATGAATCATATACAAGCAGCTTAGTTCAATAAATGCTATGACAGGTATAGTAGTTTGAATAACTGGGGTGTATTGTATAATAAACTCTTACATTGCAATTGCTATTCACTTTTCATGAGGAAATGTGTTGATCAAATTGCCTTTTCTTTTATTTTTCCAGGAAATGTTTCTGATCAGATTGCCCTTGCAATTTGTTCTTCACTTTTCCCCAGGAAATGTTTTGATCAAATTGCCCTTGCAATTATTTTTCACTTTACTTCTCGTGAAATGTTTCTGATCAAATTTTCTTGAGGAAATGAACTGATCAGATTGCCTTTGCAATTGTTTTATTTATTTTTCTCATATTTCTCCATTAATTGTAAGTGTTATTTAGCCCACATAGTGAGCTATTCTATTTTGGTAATCATTTTCAATACTAAACTATGTTCCATTATACATTTATGCTTTTCTGCCTTTATGGCAGATTTCTTTTAATTTCCATTTTTGCATCTGTAGCAGTTATCTCGAGCCAAGAGATGCTCAATATGCTGCTATTTCTTGTACATATTTTTGCAAGCAAGTCACTTGCTCCCCTTTATTTTTATTCGTTATTTTCTTTCGTTACTTTAGGATCAAAGAATGAATTTGTACTGTTGACATTCAAAGCATTTTATATGGATAAAGGAAGCATTTACCCATATTTATATAAGGAAAAAATGACTATTCAACTTTCAATGCACTTTGAACTTGACACTGGCTAACTTTTTAAAAGACCTTCCATTTTATTCATGTTCTAACATTGATTTTTTGGACTTAGCACATGGACTTGATCATTATGATAATCTTCTATTAAATCCACTTGACTTTGATAAACATTTAGCCACGGAAGACCAGTTTAACAATGTTCAAACTCAAATGCATAGCATTTCTCAACAGTGTAATTTTGATAATATTGACAAATTAAACTCAACAATTAAATATGACTCATTTTCTTTACTTCATCTGAACATGAGAAGTTTACCAAAGAATAACTGGAAATTTGAAATGCTTAACTCTCTTAGTAAAAATTCTTTTTTTGTCATAG